CCCTCCCCCCCCCCCAAGTTCCACAATCCTTCCAGTCTCAGATCAAAGAGATTCAGCCACAGGGGGCTTCAAAGGTCCTCCCGGCCCCCAAGAGAGGCTGTTCCGGAGAGGGACCCCCGTCTCCTCTCCCCCAAGGAAGCTCGCACGCAGGTGGAAGACCCACTTTGGGGGCTTCTGGGAAGGGAGATGGGCGTTGCTGCTGTCCTGGTGGCTCCTGGTTTAAGTTGGAGACCCCGGCATCCTTTCTCCCGGCAATTCTCCTGCTTTGGGGTGGGGGGTCTCCACTGTGTGCCAGCCGGGAGGGCTGGGTCAGGCGTGGGTCTCGGCGGGAGGCACCCTCGCCCGCGTGCTGGTCTTGGGCTGCGGGGGCCAGTCCGGGTCGAAGAGGAGCTCCTGGGCCAGGCGCTGGTACTTGGCCCGGGGGGCCGCCTGCCGGCAGCAGGAAGACACAGGGGCCGCCTCCCCCAGCTCCAGCTGTGGGGCAGAGAAGGGGCCGCAGCGTGAGCGCCTGGCTGGGCTCCAGGAGAGGCACAAGGCGGCGGCAAGGCCTGGCACTCGGCCCTTCGGATCCATGCCAGGCTAGGCGGCCACCACTGCCCAGCCAGCCGCCTCCGTGCCCACCCAGCCCTCCTGGCCTGCAGGTGGTCACTTGCGAGGCCCAGGCCCCCTCCCCTCTCTCCCCCCTCCCCCCAAAACAGGAGTTTGTGCCTGGGAACCGTGTGTGCAACTCCACAAACGTTGTGGGCTGTTACAATCACACAAGGGTCTGATGGGCTGCAGGTAGATCTTGGTCCCCCCATCCCTCACCCCAGCCGCAGCGTCTCTCTGGCTGCAAAGGGTGAGGGTGGGGGGGGGGCTTCAGCCAGATTGGGAGGGGGGGACTTCTGCCTGTCAAAGCCAGGTGGAAACAGGCCCTGGGGGGGGGGGAAGCCTTTTTGTCAGCCCAATTCCAGAGCTGCAGATCCCCTTGCCTCCCCCCCCACCCACCCCAGAAGTGGAAGGGCTCTACCTGTGGGAAGGCGGCCTGCCTGGGGTAGTCCTCCCTCCGCCTTCCGTAGCAAAGTCGCTGCCAAAGGATGTCGCAGTCGCACACGAAGTTCTGGGGGGGTGCAGGAGGGAGATTAGCCGGCCGTGGGGCAAATTGGGGCTGGGGCTCCTCCCCCACTCGCAGCCCCGCCCTTCTGCCCCCCAGGTGAGGGGAGCTGGGCGGTTACCTCCAGGCAGAGGGACAGCACCAGGTTGCTGAAGGCCAGAAGCAGCAGAACCAGGCGCCACTCGTAGGGGATGCAGGCCAGCTGCGGAGAGAGCAGGCAGAAGTTCAACCGGTGGGTCCTGTGCCCTGTTGAACTCCTGCCCGGGAGGGCGACTCCCCAGGATGAGGCTTGTTCCTGCTTCATTTCTGGGGGCCCCACCTGGCCCAAATTGTACAGGTAGTCCTCCACTTACAACAGTTCATTTAGTGGCTGTTCAAAGTTACGAGGTGACTGAAAAAATGACCCTTTTTTCATAATTATGACCTGTGGTCACATGATCAAAATTTGGGACAAGTTGGCTACTGGCTCGTATTTATGACGGTCGCAGCGTCCCAGAGGGGTCACCCGCAATCCCCCCCTTCGTGACCTTCCGGCGAGCAAAGTCAATGTGGGGGGGGCAGATTCGCTTAACGACCGTGTAACTAATTTACCCACGGCAGTGATTCGCTTACCAACAGTGGCAAGAAAAGTCGTAAAACGGGGCAAAACTCAACAACTCGCTTAGCAGAATTTTTGAGCTCCACGGTGCTTGTAAGCGGGGGACTCCCTGTATAATGACCCCTGCCTCATTGCATGCTCGTCCTTCCACGCAGCGCCTGTGGTCTCCCCAAAAATCCTGGGCCGAGGGGTCCTCCCCCCTCCCCAAAGGCAGGAATGCTGAGCTTCTCTCCCCCCCCCCACAAGACCCAGAGCCGGAAGACGCCACTGGCTCCCCCTGGGAGGCCCCAGCAAGGAGTCGCCCCTCTCCTGGGGGAGGGGCATGCTGGAAGTGGGGGGGCTGCTGACATGAGCCCCCCCTCGCACACTCTTCCCTTCTGCAGCCGCCACGATCAGCTCCAGGCAGGCGCCAGAGGGAGGCGGGCAGGGTCTATCTGACCCCGTCCTTGGAGGGAGCGGCCCAGATAAGAGGGCCGGGCGGGGGGCAGCCCAGAGCCTGGCGGTGCCTGCTGGCCACGTCCCTCACGTAGTCCTCGGGCAGCAGACTCCCTCCGTCCATCTGGGCGAGCAGGCAGGGCCCCCCTACCTGGAAGAGCCGGTCCAGGGCGGGCAGCGGCCAGAGCAGCAGCAGGAGGAGGAAGCTGGACACCAGGAGGAGAGAGGCCAGGAAGAGGCCTGTGGGGAGGGAGGATGGGGGTCAGTCTGGCTGGGGGGCTTTTAGGCCCACCCCGTCTCTCCGTAGGGCAGGGGTAGGCAACCTGGGTTCTTTTATGACTGGTGGACTTCAACTCCCAGAATTCCTGAGCCAGCTTGGGGGAACTATGGCCCCCTCATGACTCCTGGACTTCAACTCCCAGAATTCCTGAGCCAGCATGGAGGAACTATAGCCCCCTCATGGCTTATGGACTTCAACTCCCAGAATTCCTGAGCCAGCATGGGGAAATTATGGCCCCCTCATGACTGGTGGACTCCAACTCCCAGAATTCCTGAGCCAGCATGGCTCAGCTTAGAAGCCTCTCCCTTCCCCTCAGCATGGCTGGCTCAGGAATTCTGGGAGTTGAAGTCCACCAGTCATAAAAGAGCCCAGGTTGCCTACCCCTGGTCTAGGGTGGTGCAGCCGAATCAAAGGGCACCAAGTCTGAACGGCCATAAAAGGCGCATTATTACGGGTAGTCCTTGACTTACAGGTCATTTAATGACCGTTCAAAGTTACGACGGCACTGAAAAAAAGTGACCTAGGACCATAGCAGCAGCCCCCGTGGGTCACGTGAGCAAAATTCGGACGCTTGGCAACTGGCTCGTATTGATGACAGTTGCAGTGTCCCGGGGTCATGTGATTCCCCCTTTGTGACCTTCTGACAAGGAGAGTCAATGTGGGAAGGAGCCGGATTCACTTAGTGACCATGTGACTAACTTAACGGCAGTGCTTCACTTAACAGTGGCAAGAAAGGTCGTAAACTGGGGCAAAACTCACTTAGGAACAGAAAGTTTAGGCTCAATTATGGCCAAAAGTCAAGAACTACATGTAAATTAATAATAAAAATAAAAATAATAATAATAGTAGTAGTAGTAGTAGAATAGAATAGCGAATATAGAATACAGAATAGCATATAATAGAGTAGAATAGAATAGAGAATAGAATATAGAATACAGAATAGAATAGAATACAGAACAGAATAGGATGCAGAATAGAATGCAGAATAGAATAGAATAGAATACAGAATAGAATAGAATAGCATAGAATAGAACAGAACAGAGAGTAGAATACAATAGAAAATATGGAATGGAATGGAATATGGAATAGAATAGAATAGAAAATATAGGATGGGATGGAATGGAATATGGAATGGAATATGGAATAGAATAGAAAATATGGGATGGGATGGAATGGAATATGGAATGGAATAGAATAGAATATAGAACAGAACAGAACAGAATATAGAATGGGGTGGAATGGAGTAGAATCTCACTGTGGTCACATTTCCACTTAAAACCTGGCAAAGCGTCACCCTGTCTCAACTCCCCGCCCGAGGAATGCCTGGGGATGAAATCCCTGCCCGTGTGTGTGTGTGTCCGGCTGAGCCGGCCCCTCACCGTTGGTCTGGGTGGGCTGCCGGAAGGGGCGTCCCTTGGAGAAGGCGAGGGCCACGAAGACGTACTGGAAGCAGGAGATGAAGAAGAGGGTCGTGTTTTCGTAGCTGCGCACGGAGTCGGGGTCATGCCCCCCCATCTCCCGGGGGGCAGTGGCGTTTGGGGGGGCTGAGCCGTTGGTGGGGAGGCCGCCGCAGCTCCTAAAGGGGGAACCCAGAGTGGTCACTGCAGAGTCCCAGGAAGGGCTCCCTGGCCTGTGCCAAGCACGGGAAATCCGGAACCCAGGCCCTTCAAGGGAACGTAAAGGTTTATCACCAGCTTAAACTCTCTACAAGAATCTGAACTACAGGGGGTCCTCAACTTACAACGGCTTGTTTAGTGACCATTCGGAGTTAAAACGCCACTGGAAAAGTGACTTGTGACCTTTTTTCACACTTACGACCTTTGCAGCGTCCCCGTGGGTCACGTGATCAAAAATCGGACGCTCGGCAAACTGGCTCGTATTTATGACGGTCGCAGCGTCCCGGGGGGGTGTCATGTGATCCCCCTTTGTGACCTTCTGGCAAGCAAAGTCGATGGGGGGCAGATTCGCTTAACGACCGTGACTTAATTTACCCACTGCAGCGATTCGCTTACCGACGGTGGCAAGGAAAGTCGTAAAACGGGGCGAAACAGAATTTCTGGGCTCCACTGTGGTCGTAAGTGGAGGACTACCTGTGCTAAACGGTCAAGCAAATTGGCGGCAGGTAAGAATTCTGTGGAATTCAAGGCGGGCTGGACTCCGGTCTCTTGTGGAGGCGAAGGGACTCGAAACAAATGGCGTGCTTGACCCCTCCCTCCTTCCCTCGGGCTCAGCCTGTCAATCTCCTGCCCTCCGCCCCCGCACAGCCCCCACTTACTCCTGGGGGTACCACGGCTGCTGCTGGACGAGGAGGAAGGCCCCCACCTGGAAGGCGAGCGACAGGAGGATCTGGCTGAGGACGGAGAGTAGCAGCTGCGGGGAGACCAGGCTGCTGGGCGGCCGTTGCGGGACCAGCTCCCTCCAGGCGCTGTTCAGGCTCACTGGAGGAGAAGCAGCGGAGGCGGGTCAGAACCGGCCCCATCCAGGCGCAGACCCTCTCTGTGCCCCCTAAAACCCCACAGCTCCTTCAAGCTGGCACGGCAGACCTGCCAACCTCCGCTGTGTGGACACAGGCCCCCCTTCCTGCCCAGGTGGATGGGCACAGGGGCTCCCCTGGGCTGCCCACCGCAGCCGGCTCCAGGGAGGGAGGACTGATCCGCAGCCGAGAAGACAGGAGGACGGCCCAGCGCAGCCAGAGGCCGAAGGAGGCAAAATAATCAAAATAATCCCAGCTATCCAGGGAGTTCTTGACTCAAAATTTGTTTCGTGACCATTTGAAGTTGCGACAGCGCTGAAAAACAGTCGTAAGTCCATTTTTCCAGTGACCTTGTAACTTTTGTCACTAAATGAACTGCTGTGAATCAGGGGCTACCTGACTCTGGTGTGCTCGCAACCGTCAGTCATTTATAGAAATAAAGGCAGCTTCGAAAAATAAAAGCCGAATGGATAAGACTGGACAACTGACCCTCGCTGGGGGAGGCGCACTTACTGCTGAAGGCCAGAGACAAGATGATCGCCATATCAATGAAGAGGTACTGGACGTCTCCCAGGTTGCCCAGAACCTGGAAAGAGAGGGTAAGGGTTCCCATCATCCCCTGACTTCACCCCATCTCAGGGCGGGGGGCTCCCCAAGCCCCCAGGCTCACCGAGTAGAGGAGCAGGACGCTGAGATACTGGATGATGCTGTAGAGCGACATGAATTTGAAGACGCAGAAGGAGGTGACCAGGGCAGCTCGGCCCTCCCTGGGGGGGTGAGCAGAGAAAGAGACACACACACCTTCAAGGGGGGGCAGAGAAAGCGTCCCCCTCCACCTGGGATGGATCCTCCCCCGGGAGGGTCTCATGCGAGCCCCCCACCCACCCAGCAGCAGCCACCTACCGGATGAGGTCCGGCACGCAGGCGATGCTGGGGGTCTTGGAGGTGAAGGGGGAGGCCACCGAGGCCTCCAGCTCCGACAGGGAGATGCCCGCCTGTGCCCGCTTCAGAGCCTGCCGAGAGGAAGGAGACGAGGCCCCCCCGGGCAGGGCAGGTCCCGGCTGGGAAGTCCTGGCTCCAAGACCCCCACCCCCCACCCCCAACTCCTCTTTTACACTTTTGCGCTTTTACCATTTTTGCTTTTGCCTCGGCTTCTTTTTATTTTAGCTCGCTTCGCTTCTACTTCTATTTCTACTTTTCGTTTTATTGTTTTATTGTGTTATTTTATATATGGTGTTAAATTTGTTACAGCAGGATGCCCATCTCACAGCAAGGCGATTCTGGGCGGCGTACGACCTCAAAATAAAACCCTAAACGGATGAGTATTTATTTATTCATTCATTTGTGGTTTTCTATAAAAGCGTAAAATCCCAGTAAGAAATGCTAAAATCTAAAAGGTAACTAAATGAAACTATCGGTCTTATTATTTCTTCGTTCAACTGATAACGCCCTTCGGCTGGCAATCCAGAAGGACCAGGGCTGCTGATAAGGGCATTAAAAGGACCAATGTCAAACCACAGAAAGACTTTCCGGTGGGGGGGGGGGAGGCATTTGTCTTTCTTTCTTTCTCTCTTTCTCTCTCCTCTCTTTCTCTCTCTCTTTCTCTTTCTTTTTCTCTATCTCCTCTTTCTTTCTCTCTCCTCTTTCTCTCTCCTCTCCTTCTCTCCTTTCGCTCTTTCTCTTTCCTCTCCTCTTTCTTTTTCTCTATCTCCTCTTTCTTTCTTTCTCCTCTTTCTCTTTTTCTCTCCTCTTTCTCTCTCCTCCCCCCCTCTCTCTCTCCTCTTTCTCTCCTCTCCTCTCCTTTCGCTCTCTCTCTCCTTTTCTTTCTCTTTCTCTCCTCTCCTTCTCTCCTTCTCTCTCTCCTCTTTCTCTTTCCTCTTTCTTTCTTTCTCTCCTTTCTTTCTTTTTCTTTCTTTCTCTCTCCTCTCCTCTCTCTTTCTCTTTCTTTCTCTTTCTTTTTCTCTATCTCCTCTTTCTTTCTCTCTCCTTTCTCTCCTCCCCTCTCTCTCCTCTTTCTCTCTCCTCTCCTTTCACTCTCTCCTCTCCTTTCACTCTCTCCTCTTTCTCTCTCCTCTCCTTTCACTCTCTTTCTTTCTCTCTCCTCTCCTCTTTCTTTCTCTTCCTCTCTCCTCTCCTCTTTCTTTGTTTCTTGTTCTCTCTCCTCTTTTCTTTCTCTTTCTCTCCTCTCCTTCTCTCCTTCTCTTTCTCTTTCCTCTCTCCTTTTCTTTCTCTCTCCTTTTTTTCTTTTTCTCTCTCTCTCCTCTTTCTTTCTCTTTCCTTTTTTCTTTCTTTTTCTCTCTCTCCATTCTTTCTTTCTCTCCTCTTTCTCTTTCTCCTCTCCTTCTCTCTCTCTCTCTCTCTTTCCCCCCCCCAATGCCCGTCCAGGGGGCTAGAAGGGAGGGACGGATCTCCCCTGCAGTGGCAAGGGAGTCCAGAGGGGGAGGGGCACAGCAGAAAAGGCTCTTCTCTTAAATCAGGGCTTTAAGACTGGCTGGCTGGGGAATTCTGGGAGTTGAAGTCCACAAGGCTTAAAGCGGCCAAGATTGGACACCCCTCTCCCGGACCTCCCACGTGGAAAGTCCTTGGCCAAGGAGGTCTGGAGGCCTCTTCTGCTGCAGGGAGTGGGCCAGACCAATCCCATTGGGGGGGAGGGGGCAAGACCCTTCCTCAGATAACCTACTCTCCATTTGAGATTCTCCACCCTCCACCCCTGCAGCCAGCGGACGTTGGCAAGCCCCCTCCCCTTCTAGGCTCGCCCAAACCGTTCCGTGTGTAGGGCAACCCGGACGGGACCACTCACCCCGCAGTCGTTGGCGCCATCTCCGCACATGCCCACGCAGTAGCTGCAAGAAGCCAGCTGGGTCAGGAGAGGGAGGGAGGGCTCCCACCGCCCCTCTGTCCTGCTCCACTGGGACCACCCTTCTCCCTCCCCCCCTCCCCCGACACCTACTCCATTTTCTGCAGGGCTTCCACTAGCTGCGTCTTCTGATCGGGGGCCATGCGGGCATAGATGGTGCCACAAAGCAACAACTGCAACACAAAGCAACAGCTGCGACTTGGGGAGGGGGGGGGTAGGATCTGCGGCCTCCTCCAGGAAACCAGCGCCCCCCACACACACACACACAGGCCTCCCCTGTCCCTGGCAGGGTCCCACCTTCGGCAGCAGGTCTGGGAAGTGATCCAGGAGGACCGCGAAGGATTTCCCCCCCATGGCAAAATGGTAGCTGATGTCCGGGACGGCTGGCTGGGCAGCAGGGGGGGGATCTGCGTCGTCCACCAGCAGCTTAATCTCGGGAGGCCCCTGAGGGAGAAGGGAAAAGGGCACTGTGGCCAACGCGGCTGCCCCCCACGTCCCCTGGAAGAGGGTCAGCAGAGGCCAGAAGGAGGCTCTCACCTGCTGCTCTTCTCCATTGCTCACTGCCGGGTCCGCCGTGGGGAATTCATCAGCATATTGCCAGTGGATGGTTGCGGGCTGCCCGTCCCTGGGGGGCAGAGCCTCCGTCAGGACCACCTTGCCCTTGGACGGGATCATGCCACACTCCCGGCCCACGGAAATGGCGGTCAAGAGGTTGTCTCCTGGGCGATGGAGAGCAGGAGGAGGAGGAGGAGGAGGAGGAGGAGGAGGAGGAAAAATGAACACCATCACTGCAAGACCCCCAATCTCTCCCCCACTCGAGATTAGCCCTTTGGTTTAGCACCTGCCCCCTCCCTTACAAATTCCGAACCAGCTCTGCAAGGGAGAAGCTATTATTGTTGCAACAGGTGTGCCAGTGTTCAACCCGGGGGGAGGAAGGGAGGGAGGTAGCGGATAATATGTGCCCACCGGTCACCATGACGGAGCGGATGCAGGCCCGCCGTAGCTCGGCCAGGATCGGCACCGTTTCCGGCTTCAACTTGTTCTGCAGCAGGACAAACCCCAGGAAGTCCATGTTGAGCTCCACGGCGTCTCTGGGGGAGAAACGGGCAGTCGTTGGGGTGGGGGGCTGGGCCTGCCAGGGCCCCGTCAGGAGGAGGAGGAGGAGGAGGAGGGACCCTCGGGGCCACGGGGGAGCCGCGACTCACCGGGAAAGGTGGTGGATTTTGTGCCACATGTATTTGCTTTCCAGCCGGCGGCTGGCCAGAGCGATGACACGCAGTCCTCCTCGCGTGTAGGACTCCAGCATAGAGGAGAAGTCGTCTGGAACTGAATGGAGGCGTTGGGGAAGGAACGGGGCCACCCTCCCCCACCGCGGGTGAGCCACTCGGGCTGTGGCCGCGACACCGAGGGCTCCATGTCCCACAGCTGTCCCCCCCGTCTAGTTTTCGCTGGGGCATCCGTGGCGGCTCGGCTGGCCAGGGGACAGCAGCAACCTCTGCCATGTGTCCTCCCCTCTCCCCGTCCCTTGTCCGCAAAAGACAAAAGATTACCGGTCTCCTTGCGGCAGAGACTGCCCACCGTCTCCGGCGCGCCTTTCATGTAGGCCATCAGGTGCTTCTCGCCCAGCGTACGCGTCACGACACACATGCGCCGCAGGCCGGAGGAGAAGGGGTACTGCGCCAAGATGCCAATCTGGCTGCCTCTCTGCAAGGGGGGTGAACGAGAGAGGCGGGGCAGAGAAGGTGGCACGGTGGGTCAAAGCGCTGGGCTCAGGAGGGCCCTTTGGTTGCCCGGGAGGAAAAGGGGCTGCCCCACTTACCATCAGGTCCAGAAGCTCCTGGAAAGAGAGCAGAATGAAGGGTCAGAACTGAGACCCCCAAAGCCCACAGCTGGAGCCCCAAAGCCCATCCCCGTGGCCCCTGCGTTCCTCCAGCCTCTCTGCTCACCTTGTCCCCAGTCGGTGCCTCTGAGGGTGCTGGGAGCCGGCAGCCTGGTGGGTGGACAACGGTGGGCTGGATTCGGTCGTGGAGGGCCGTTTCCTCCTGGGTGGGCTCCTCCAGGATCTGGTTGGGGAGGAGGAACGGCTGCAGCCCCACGACTCCGGGAAGCACAGGCTGGCTTCCGAGCCACCCCACCTTGGTGCAACCTCTGGCACCTTGGACCGCTTGGGCGGGCGCGTGTCCAAAGCGCCAGAGTCAACGCAGCGAGGCGAGAAGGACTCGCGCGCTCACGAGGAAAGGCGCAACAGCCTTACCCAGCCGGTGGCCGCGAACATCCTGAGGTCGAGGGGGTCTCCTGAGAGGCGGCCCTCCAGGGTGGTGAGCGAGTGGCAGGCGGCCATGGCGGCAACAAACGGGGAACTGGCCAGGCGGGGCTCACGGACATCTCGCCCCATCGGGAGGAAGCTGGGAAGGAAAAGAGTAGCAGCTGAACCCTCCCCAGATCGCGGCCGAGCCTTGCCGGCCAGCCCAAAGGACCTGGCAGGGACAAAGGGACGTTTTCTGGGGGGGACAAGGCCCGAACATCCAGTGATGAGGCCGCTGCCACAATCCCCCATGAACTTTTGTGTATAATTGTGGGTTGTGTCTATGTGCTTACTTCTCCTCTGTCATGTTCTCATCATAGGCTAAATAAATATATACAGGCAGCCCTGGACTCAGCTGAGTCTAGAATTTCTGCTGCTAAATGCAACGTTTGTTAAATGACGTCGTCCTCGTTTTACGACTTTGCTTGCCACCGCTAAGTGAACCACTGTAGTTGTTAAGTGAGTCACGTGGTTGTTAAGTGACTCTTTGCCGGTCAGAAGGTCACAAAATGGGATCACGTGACCCCCTCTGGGACACTGCGACCGTCGTTAAGTGCGAGTCGGTCGCCAAGCATCCGGATGTAAATCACGTGACCACGGGGACGCTGCAACGGTCGTACTTCAAAGGGTCACTAAGCAAACGGCTATAAGGTGAGGACAACCTGTAATTCCAAGCTTAGGGACCCCTCTGCCGATTTAGCCCAAGACCCCTGCAGAGAATCCCTGCCTGCCCCACCCACCTCCCAGGGCCAAAGCCCCCTCCCCAATCAGCTGATTCCTGCAACATGGCAGCCGACCACAGCCACGCAATGCCTGCGCCCCCCCAGCCCACTCACCGGCCCTCCTGCGCTTGCACGAACCCCCAGAAGTCCAGGCCGTCTTCGGTCAAGGTGCCGGTCTGCAAGGGGGACAGGATCCCGGTCAGCCGGCCGGTCCGAGAAGAGCTGCCCCTCCCCCTCTCCCCGGGGAACCAGAGGGGGGGCACCTTGTCGAAGCACATCAGGTTGAGCTGCCCACAGAGGTTGATGCGCTGGGGGCTGAGGGAGAAGATCTGCTTTCGGCGCAGGCGCCGCTGGGCGTAGACCACCCCGGCCGTCATGGCTGCCGGCAAGGCGGGGGGCACCGTGATGGTGAGGATGTCCAGGGATTCCAGCACGATGCGGCCAACGGGCTCCTGGCCAGGGGGGAGAAAAGGTGGGCCCTTCGGTCAGCGCTCCCCCCCAAAAAAATTCTACAGATGCCCAGTTTGATTTATTGTCTGTCTGTCTATTATCTATCTATCTATCTATCTATCTATCTATCTATCTATCTATCTATCTATCTATCTATCTATCTATCTATCTATCCATCCATCCATCCATCCATCTATCTATCTATCATCTATTTATTCATTTATCCATCTGCCAACTATTATATATATCTGGGTCTGTCTATCTGTCTGTCTATCTCTCTTTCTCTAGCTCTCTTTATCTATCGTGTATCTCTCTCTCTCTCATCTATTTATTCATTCATCCATCTGCCAACTATTATATATATATGTGGGTCTGTCTATCTGTCTGTCTGTCTTTCTATCTATTATCTATTCATTCATCCATCTGCCAACTATTATATATATCTGGGTCTGTCTGTCTGTCTATATCTCTATATTTCTATCATATCTATCGATCATCTATCTATCTATCTATCTATCTATCTATCTATCTATCTATCTATCTATCTATCTATCTATCATCTATCTCTACATATCTCTCTTTCTATCTATCTATCTATCTATCTATCTATCTATCTATCTATCTATCTATCTATCTATCTATCTATCTACCTACCTACCTACCTACCTACCTACCAAATGTGTATGCCACCCGTCTCAACTGGTGACTCTGGGCAGCTTGCAAATGATTGTAAGATAGATTCCTTCCCACTGTACCTGGGTGCTGCCCATTTTACAAACTGAGAGTGGGGGTCTGCTTGAAGGGTCCCCCCCCCAGCCTGCCCCCTCTCCCTGCCCTCCATTCGCAAGGGGGATTCCTCAGCAGCAGCAGCAGCTGAAAACCAGCCCCCACCCTCTGTGCTGCCCTCTGCGTGGACACCCACGGCCTGTTGGATGCTGCGGATCACGGAGTACAGCATGCCGATGCCAGCCACGCCCACCAGGCAGAGGAGGAAGCGGAAAGCGTCCCGGAAGAGGCGGAAATCGGTGGGCTTCGGGAACAGGATGGAACAAACGAGCTGCCCCTTGGAGGTGGAGAAGCCTGGGGAGAGAAGGGCGGAGGGTCAGCCCCCAGGAAAGCACCTTTACACACACACACACACACACACACACACACACACACACACACTGCCATTCCGATCCAAGAAGGGCCTCCTCACCTGTCCGGATCACCAGTGCCCGTACCGGCTCTCCGGAGTAGTACCGTGTTTGGATGACGGAGGTGCCGCAGAAGAGCGTGTGCCGCTTGTGTTCGTCTGGGTCGTAAACCGGATCCCGGAGGGGCCCGCCTTCCTGGGCTGGGACGGGCAAGGCTGTCTTCGTGACGGGGACGCTTTCCCCTGGCGAGGGAGGAAGGTCAGATGCCAGGAAGGACGCGCTTCCCGGCTGCCCCACAGGCGCCACCCCTACCTGTCAACATGCTCTCGTTGACAATGGCCGTCCCACTCAGCAGCACCGCGTCGCACGGCATGGTGAGTCCCTCGGGAGGCACCAGAATGACGTCCCCCGGCACCAGCTCCGTGGAGAATATGGCTTCCATTTCTGCAAGGAAGAGACTCCAGATTCGGGGATTCGTTGGGGCTTACCCCACTGGAGCACCCAAAGGGGGCAGTGGGCTCCGAGGCTTTGGTCCGCCAGTCGCAGCAAGGGGCTTCATCCCAACCAGGGTCCAGGGTGGACCCGCTAGCACCCTTTCCTGACCCCCACTGGTGCTTCCCCCTGGTCCAGAGAGCGGGTCTCCTTTTTCTCTGCCCCCGGCACCGATCCCTTGGACTTCCCCAGGTTTCCTGCCTGAGCAAGGGGTTGGACTAGATGACCTCCAAGCACCCTTCCAACTTTATTGTTGTTTTAGTTTTAGTTTTAGTTTTAGTTTTAGTTGTTGTTGTTGTTGTTGTTGTTATTATTATTATTATTATTATTTTAACCAAAGTTCAGAGATTGGAGTCCTGGTGGACAATCACTTAAAGGTGAGCCAGCCGTGTGCGACAGCAGCCAAAAAAGCCAATACAATCCTTGATTGTATAAACAGAGACACAGAATCAAGATCACGCGAAGTATTAGGACTGCTTTATAAAGCCTTAGTAAGGCCACCCCTGGAGCCCTGCATCCAGTTTTGGTCACCACATCACAAAAAAGATGTTGAGACTTTGGAAAAAGTTCAGAGAAGAGCAACTAAGAGGATCAAAGGCCTGGGGACCAAAACATATAAAGAACGGCTGCGGGACTTGGGTTTGGCTAGTCTGGAGAAAAGAAGGACCAGGGAGGACATGATAGCAGGATTCCCATATTTGAGGGGCTGCCCCAAAGAGGAGGGGGGGCAACTTATTTTCCAAAGCACCAGAAGGCAAAAAAAGGAACAACGGATGGAAACTCATGAAGGAGAGAAGCAACTTAGAATTAAGGAGAAACTTCCTGACAGGGAGGGCAATTAACCAGTGGAACAGCTTGCCACCAGACGTTGTGGGTGCTCCATCACTGGAGGAGACTGGACAGCTTCTTGAAATAGGGTCTCCCGCTTGAGCAGGGGGTTGGACTAGAAGACCTCCAAGGTCTCTTCTAGCTCTATTCTGACTGGGGCCGACTCACCACAGGGTCCTCGGACGACGGTGACCCGGACGACGTTGTGGGCCGAAACCATTCCGTGGAGCAGCACATATTGCTGGAAGAGGAAGGGCTGGCGTCAGGGCCCGGGCACGCCTCCCTCTCCGCCGGCCCCAGGTGCCTGGCCCTTCCCCACCGGCCCCCACCTTGCGGATGGTGTAGAGGGAGGAGCCGATGGAGACGAAGGACATGAAGAGGATGGTGGACGCGTAGAGGTAATAGTCGTCCAGGGACCACAGGAGGACGCTGAAGGCTTGGAAAATGTAGAAAGGATTCAGGACCTGAGGAGGGAGGGAGGGAGGACACGTGGCCAGGGGTCAGGACTCAGTCTTGTGGCTCCTGGGCCCCCCTCTCCCTCAGCCCCCCAGACCCACCTCTTTGATGAGGAGGTGGGCCAGGGAAGGCACTTGAACGTCGATCTTGTTGGCGCCGTAGAACATTTTCCTAGGAAGAGTGTAAGGTGTTCTCCTGCCCCCTGTTCCCCCCAGCAAGCCCCCGCCGGGCCCCCTCCCAGCTCCAATACCCCCTCCTCACCGGTAGTCTTGGGTGCTGCGAGGGAGGCCCCCGCCGTGGCCAGAGTGCAAGGAGGAGCAGGGCTGCCCCAGGTCCAGAGCGGTGAGTCGCCGGAAGGCCTGGGCCTCCGTCGCCCAGAGGTAGCGCACGTTGCGGTGCGCGAAGAAGCGGACCTGCGGCACAGCAAGACGGTCAGGCGCATCCCGGGCGGAGGAAGGGGGGGGCTGCGACAAGGGGCCTGCCCCAGCTCACCTGGGCCTGCTCCCCACAGATCAGTGGGGACAGAAGCCGCTCCTCACAGCCCGTGTCGTCCGTCAGCCCTGCTGGGCACAGGGGCCGCTTGCTCTCTGCCGGCTGCGGGAAGCCCAAGGGGTCGGTGCCGGGGGCAGAGAGAGAGGAGACCCGTTCCCTGGACCAGGTCTGGAACTCGTCCTGGAGGAGGAGGGGGGGAGGGGAGGGGAGGAAAAGGAGAGGAAGAGGAAGAAGAGGAGAAGATGAAGAGGAGGAGGAGGAGATGGAAGGAAGACAAGGAGAAGGAAAGGAGGATGGGAGGAAGAGGAGACGGAAAAGGGGAAGGAAGAGGAAGAGGAGGAGGAGATGAAGAGGAGGAGAGGAGGGGAGGAAGGGGAGGGGAGAAGGAAAAGGAGATGAAGAGAGAAGATGATGGGGAGAAGGAGATAGAAGGAGAAGGAGAGGAGGACGGGAGGAAGAGGAGACGGAAAAGGGGAAGGAAGAGGAAGAGGAGATGAAGAGGAGGAGGAGGAGAGGGGAGGAAGAGGGGAGAAGGAAAAGGAGAGGAAGAGAGAAGATGATGGGGAGGAGATAGAAGGAGGAGAGGAGGAGAGGAGACGGAAAAGGGGAAGGGGAAGAGGAAGAGGAAGAAGAGGAAGAAGAAGAAGAAGAAGAAGAAGAAGAAGAAGAAGAAGAAGAAGAAGAAGAAGAAGAAGAAGAAGAAGAAGAAGAAGAAGAAGAAGAAGAAGAAGAAGAAAGAGTCGTAAGAAAAGATGCTACCACTGAGGCCCAGAGCTGCCCGTCCGTGGGACGCAGAACCCAAGGCGGCTCCCCTGCACCCACCCAGAGGCCCGCTTCCTTGGGCCCAGAAAGGGGGCCTCTTCCCAGCCTGACAGGGCGCCCCTGCTGGCCCTGGGGCACATCCAGGACTGCCCCCCACCCGCGGAGGGCCCGGCTTGCAAGGGAGCCTGCTGGGGAAGGGAGGGCCTCGCCGGGGCCCCTACCGTGGTTCTCAGCAGCACCACCTGGGCCTCCCGTAGTGGCACAGCCCGGCAGGTCCACTTGACGCTCAGCTCCGGCAGCCAGTACAGGAAGAGGAGGAGGAAGCCGCCGCTGCAGACGGTGCCCAGCGAGACCAGCGCCAGCTTCCAGCAGCAGGGGCTGTAGCCCCGGATTTCCTGGGGAGGGGACGCAGTCAGACCAGCCGTGGACCCCGAGAGGGTCCGTCTCAGAGGGGCCACGGCAGCTGGACGGCCTCAGGAAGCAGCAGCCGAGACCGGCTCCTGTGGGAAGGCGAGGGTGGCGGACAGGACAGGCCCCGCCGGGGGCCACGGGGACCCAGCCCAGGCCGACGCTGGTGCCCCTGCACAGGAGGACCCCAGCCTCGTGGCAGCTCCTGGGCAGGGGGGTCACGGCGCCCACCAGGGGAGGCACGGCAAAGGGGGCCAGCCTTGAGCGCTGCACCAGGCTGTCCAGCCCAGAGGGCAAAGGGGCGGCATAAGGGGCCCGCCCGGCCGCTGGCACTGCCCCCGACCAGCTGCACTGACCATTTCATCCTCCTCGTTGCAGTTCACATACGCTGCGGTCGTTCTCGCCATGCTTCTTTTCTGTGGGTCACGCGCCTACCCCACTGCCAAGCTCCTGTGGGGCAGGAGAGGGCAAGAGTTGAGCCCTCGGCCAGTCGTCCCCTGCCCCACAGCCGGCCAAAGGGGGCTGGCAGGAGGAACGCCCCCCCCACCCCACATGCTCCTCCAGCCTCCTCCTCCCCCCCCCAAGTTCCAGCTGAACCCCAAAGCAGCCTCCCAAGCTCCTTGGCCGGCCCCTCTTGGCTCCGGTGCCCTGTCCGGGTCGCCGGACGATGGCCCTGGTCGTGAATGAATCCCCTGTTGTCCTCTCTAGCCTGTGGCTTTGGGCGGCCGACCAGCGGGCTGTGGCCACAGCCCAAAGGCAGCAGGGCAGAGAGCCCAGCCCCGCCTGCCCAGCCGGAGCCCCCAGCCGGGGGGGAGGGTGGACTTACGGCAGCTTTTGTCACTGTGTCAGCTGTAGGGCCCCGGGTCCACCGGCCACATCCAGGAGGGGAAGGCGGGGAGCGTGGTCAGCAACTGGAAGGACAAAGGCCAGGCTGAGCAGGGGCGCCAGCTGATGGAGGGGGGCTGGCACTGCCCGTGCTTGCTGGGGGGGGGCAGACAAGGAAAGAGAGCCATCGGGGAATCCTGGGGGGGGGGAGTAGAGGCATCCCTGCCTGGGAGATACCCCGCTTCAGACACCCTCCTGTCCTGGGCACGCATGTGACGGTGGCCTCTTGTGGGCAGCAACCTCTGTCCCCGTCGCTCGCCTTCGGCCCCAGACAGTCCGGCTCCAGCTGTTTCCACACAATACACTCATCATCAGTTGCAAATTTGGAGGCTGCATTTTGCCCAACGGGCCTCGTTTTAAACCAGGAGTGTCCAACCTGGGCGACTTATAAGACTTGGGCACTTCATCTCCCAGAATTCCCCAGCCAGCCACGTTACCAATTTTGGAGAGACATCACAGGAGGTCTGAGGTCATCAGCTCGCCCAGCCAATCAGAGACCCATAGAACTGCCCGTACTGGAGCAATCCACCTTTTACAGTTAACTAAAAGGAAGGAAAGACGGGGTGGATCCCGCAGGATCCTGCAGCTGGGAACGATGTGGGTGGTTGTAGCAAGCCCTGATTGATTTGGGCAAGTTCACACGTGCTAAACCATCCCCTCTGACGGTTCGTGTAGGAATCCGACAGGCTCCTGACCGCTGTTCCCCCCGCGTTCTTCAACCCCCGTTTCCTCTTGGCACGGAGCGCTTCCCACAACGCCTGGCAACCCGGGGCCAGCAAACCACAAAGGATGTCATGCACACATGATCTGCGCTGCAGTCCCAGACCAGCCTTTCTGGACAGGCAGGTTTCGGCTGCCCCGCGTCCCTTGGGCAAATAACACCTCCCCCCAAGCCTGCTTCCAAGTTCCTGGTCCTCAGGGCACAGGCAGAAGAGCCTGGAGCAGCCTGGGATGAGCCTGGCCGGTGGAGGGCACCACCGCCCGCCTCTCCCTGCCTCTCCAGCCTGGGCACCGTCAGGCCACCGTCTCTTCTTGGAGCTGGTACAGACACCCCTCACCGTACGACCAGAACCGACCCCCAAATTTCCACCGCTCAGTGAGACATGAAGTGAATTTTGCCCCGTTTTACGATGTTTCTCGTCAAATGCTGGAGTTGTTCGGTCAGTAAGTAAAACTGCCTTCCCTGTTAGGTGGTCAGAAGGTCAGTGACCCCAGGACCTTGCGACCGTCATAAATACGAACCGGCTGCTGAGCTTCTGAATTCTGATCACGTGACCGCGGGGACGTTGCAACGGTCTTAAGACTGAGAAATGGTTGTAAACCACTTTGCCGTCGTAACGCCAAACGGTCACTAAACGAATGAAGTTGAGTAGCTGCCTGTAGGACTTTGGTGTGCCCTTACCGGATAGAGGTGCCCGGTTTGGGAAAGGCGGGTGGCATCACCCAGGCCTTGGCTTAGAGCAGGGGTAGTCAACCTTGGCTCTTTTATGACTCGTGGACTTCAACTCCCAGAATTCCTGAGCCAGCTAAGCTGGCTCAGGAATTCTGGGAATTGAAGTCCACGAGTCATAAAAGAGCCAAGGTTGACTACCCCTGGCTTAGAGGGTGTCCTTGCCCTCCCCAAACGCAGGAGAGCACGACAGGGGTCAGCGAGGCCTGGGTGCAGCTGGGTGCGAAGCCGTAGAGGGTCCGTCCCCCAGGGAGGGCGAGGGTCCTCGGGCAAAACTGGCTTAACAAATCTCTTGCTTAGAAACAGACATTTTGGGCTCAGCCGAGGTCGTACGTGGAGGAGTGCCCGTATATGAAAAGTTGCACGCTGCATCAGGGCAACGGAGGAAAAAACTAATAAATCCAATTTAGAGATGTGGTCCAGAGTGGAGGGGGGGGAACCGCAGCGGGGGGGTCTTGCTTCCCGATAACTGAGAAAGAAGCACTTGGCACCCCCAAACAGGGCAGGCAACTTTAGGAAGATCCCCGAGACCCCTCCCAGCTGGGAGAGGCAGCCCCTGCCCTGCCCCGGAGAAGGAAGGGGGCTGTGGTGCTGCCAATTTTGTTAACGGCTTCTCCTGCCTCCGTACCACAACGGCTTTCCCTCCAGGGCTGGATTGGCTGCCAAAAGCCCGTTGACTTCCTGGGCTTGAATCCACCCTCTACGCCCCGGTGCCAGGGAGCTTAGCACGGCCCTCCCCTCCAGATGGGCCTGGCGTGCCAGGGTGAAAGGAGGGCACCCAAACCCTGAGCCTGGCACAAGCCTCGGTAGAAAACTCGGCTTGTGGCTCTTTGTAAAAAAACCCGAAAAAATCCCAGTTCAGGCAGAGAAAGTTGGGAAGGGAGCACGAAGCCTGGCTCCCCCATTCCTGCACCTGGAGACGCCCAGTGCCCCCGCGCCCCCGGGCCGTTCCTCTGCCAGGGCATGCCCGCCACCTTCCCCCGCCCAGGAAGAGCCCGGCTTGGGCAGAGCGCAGGTGGGGCCCTCGTGCCACACGTGCGGCTGTGTGGTCTGGCCCGGAGGAGGAAGCAGCAGCCTGGATGCCAAGCCCCCTCCTGGGGCAGCAGATTCTATGGGGAGACCCCACCCAGGCTGATTAGCTTGGTTTAGTTGCTGCTGAGGCTTGGGGGGAGGGAGGGAAGGAGGGAGGGAGGGGCTGTCTGGCTCCTTTATCTAGCCCCCAAATCTTAGTCCTCTCCAGCTGCCATGCCGCCTTATAATAATAATAATAATAATAATAATAAT